ATATTATATATATATATATATATATTATATATATTAAAAATAGAGGTTGCTGGGATAATGGCGATAATGGTAAATAATCTAGAGTATGCACTATAGTTGGCCTTGTTAGCACTAGCTGGAACGTAGCCATGGTAAAAAGATTTATATTCGCTATACTACCAATGTAATTCTGTGGTAAACTGCTTTGAGATGTAAACCCATACAATTGTTACCTATGCTATATGATATGCTGAATAAGTAATTTATACTACTACATGTATAGAATTAGTAAGAATTTTTTTAAAGGAAACTTTACACTAAATAAGTAATAATATAACTAATTAGATTAGCAACCTTATACGTTCTTGAGCAAACCAATGCTGATATGTATACAGCTAGATATACATATCATCAGTGGTTAATAATGACAAATTGTATTTGTCATGATTATTAACCCCTGATATAATCATCCGTTTCCCACATCTGGCCTGCCCTGCTGCAACTCATTCAGTTGATGGTTGAGCCATTAATCTCAAACGTGTATTACAATAACTACATGTATAACTAAATTTCACAGAATAGCGCAGCACTATATACATATAATTCTTGTTCTTACCTGTCCGCCAGATTGGCTCATGTTCTTGAAAGTTGAAGTATCGTATAAAATTCAGTCTAACGTCTATTCAAGAACAATGTCAACGTGCTACTGCCAGTTTGTCAATATTGAAAATCAAATGAAGCCGTCGAACGTCAGGTGTCGCCACTAGCCAGAGACGCAGATGGTTTGTTGTCGTTAGGTCTTCACTTCTAAATAAACACACACAGCTTTGAGTCTTGCAGTTTGGCCGGCTTCTTACTCTTAGTCTTACGAAATAGAGATGTAATTATATATTTTAAACGTCTAGGTTACTATTCGAACAGCACAACCAGAGCTGATCATGGCATACAAGGATCATGCGGCTATTTTACGGATATGTACGGATCTCTTATCTACCTATCAATCAGGTTCTGTAATCTCTTCAGAAGAACACCTGAAACGTCTTGGCGTGGTAGGTCTGTCTTGGCGGGGTACGTCTTTGCGGGGTAGGGGTCTATTGTAACGACGTTCACCAGTTATCGTTATTAATCATTAATTAGTTTTATTAATATGCAGTTACTAACTTACTGGTTATATCAAGGATACACAATGAACAAATCTGGGCCCACCTACTGACCTAGTTTACTGTTTAGCTCATAGGGTCTATGTCCCCCAGGTAGCTCTAGTACTATAGCCCGCGTACAGAATTGCCGCCAGTGGCAACTGTACGCGGGCTATAGTACTAGAGCTATTCCCCAGGGTACTATCGGAGGTAGCTCTAGTAACTATAGCCCGCGTACGTATACCCTGCGGCAACTGTACGTGGGCTATAGTTACTAGAGCTATATCGGAGGGTACCCTGCATGGGTACGGTTCGATATATCGGAACGTACTTTGGTAACTATCTGATATGGTTAGGGTTAGGAGTAGGCGTAGGCGAGGTACGGTCCGGCATATTAGATAGTACCAGGGTACGTTCTGATATATCGAATCGTACCCAGGGTACCCTCCGATAGTACCCTGGGGGACATAGACCCTCTCAGCCCTAGTTTACCACCCCGGATTAGTGGATCAAGGATAGTTTAGCTCGTGCACACATCACTTGTCATAGTATGGGACTGCATCATATACAATAAAAAATTATTACAATACGCCCATACATATCTTACTATCTATATATGTTCATGTTATTATTATGTACCCCACATTATTATGTCTGTTATGCACGAATCCATATAAAGTGCTATAGTACAAGCTGATATATATTTTCCCAGGAATTTGATGATGCAGTGAGAGTTTTCATAGAGGAGGTGTTTCTAGGATGTATAAGATTTTCAACAGCTCTCACTATGGCCGTGGAGTGCTTCCGGAAAACTAGAGGTCTTACGAGGCTACCCGAGGGCATGATGAACCTATATAAAGGTACCAGGTACTCAGTGTACTTTTTCATAATAAATAAGATTGTGTAGCACACACAAGTGTATGTCAGATTGGCTACTGATGCGAGCTGTGTGCTTTCATGTGGATTATTGAGGATTATTTGGATTATCATTATTTGAGGATTTCATGTGGATTATTATATTCTTTTTGTTGTTGAAACTATACTGATTCTAAATGTCTTAGTGGCTCTTTCATTTTTCCTATTCCCTTTCGTGTCAAATATAATGTTTCATCTATAAAAAAAACCAACACATGAATCAAAATAGGGCAAGTAATATATAGTATATCTTAATGGTATCATATTGTCCTATGCATTCTATACATGTAGCCATTTTTCCTTTAACAATATTTTTCAGTTTTATGCTATTTGCTGTTGTTCCGCTTCGAAGAACTAGGGGAAAAACAATTCTCTCGGTTTGTGCAATCTCAGGATCCTGGGAAGATGTATAAGGTATCAAAATACTATCAACACTATTTGCCATTGGAAGGTAGAGTAGCTATTTCTCTTAGTGATTTAATCAATAGAAACAATATCAAACTACAGCTCAGATGGCATTAGAGCGACACCAGGAACTATTTGGAATACATAGGATCATTATCATAGTTGAGTAAGAAGCCACACATATGCCATACATATTGTAAAAGTAAAGATTTAATATCTTTTTCTATTGTTCTATAGTTGTGTAAAGGGGAGGGTCTTATGTTGGAAATTATTTTAATCATCACTTGACACTTTACTATCAATCTTTTTAGTTTTTAACCTTCCTTGTGGACAAGCGCAGCATTGATTCTGTACTAAAGCCAAACTGGTGTCTTCATTTTGATGAGAGTTACGTAGTGTGTAATATGGTGGAACCACTGCTTAGGTAAGCCATGCAGGAAACTAACTTCGTAGCTGTTGAGAAATCACAAGAATTCAAGCAATTGTAATCATCTACTGGTTAGTTACATTCACGAGCTATAGCAGTGTAGTAAGGGTTGCACTAAGAAGGCATTAGAAATGCTATAGAGCCAAAAAAATATGCTAATCCAATGTAACACATGACAGGTCCAAGACACAGCTTCAGAAGTTAAATTTAGAGTTGAAAAACAAAGCAGAGGGGAAGTCGCAACCAAATCCACAATCGAAGGCTACTACACGTGAGCATACAACAAGCATCATGGTAACAAGAATCCAGTATACCTGTCAAGCTGTGCTATTGTAAGTATATAAATGACTAGATAGTAAATAAAAACTGTCATCTATAACTATGGAATGTTGGGATTATTTCAGGTATGAAGCCATTTCAACTGACAGAACCAAAGCCGAAAATAATTTCAATACCAGAACAGGTAACATTGTTTTGTGTTCTAGCTCTTAATGGTATATATATCTAGCTATCCATGGATAAATAAAGATGTGTGTGGTGTGTGCATGCGTGCGTGCGTGCATGTGTGTGAGTGCATGCGTGTGTTTATTTATTTATTAACATTTTTAGCATAGGGTAGATACTTCATATCTAGGTGTGCTTATTGCTGAGTGAACATTTACTGAATAGTCAACAAGCACTGCATATTCCAAACATCAACTACACACATCCTGTCAGCAGAAGATAGTGCTCACGCAGTTAGGTGATGATGTAAACTATTATTGTATTGCATATTATAATATAATTTTTCATCAGCTTCCCACACTGCAAAGGATGAAGCCAGTGCCTGAAGTAGTGTATAAGCCTCCTGCTGAAGTAGAACAAATTGAAAAAGCAAAGCAGAAGAACAAGTTAAAAGCACAGGTAAACAACATATAATTGGCACATAATTGGGTATATAACAAGGTGTATACTTGGCTTCCTAATTCACTTGACACTGTTAATATTTGTAAAGGCACATGTTTCAGGCATATATTACCAGTAATGAGATTAATCTCAATAGGTTCACCCATAGTGGTTATCCTATTATCAGGAGTGAATAAAAAACTTTTTGTAGGATGCAGTCCATGCTATGAAGTTTGTGATGATATGGATATATTACTATTAGCTGCTTAGTGACTTTTTGACTTTGATATTGAATACCAAATATGTGGGTTTGCAATCCTTGGTGGAATTAATCTACAATTTACATTCAATGTTTTTGTGTCATCAAAGGAGATATTTATCGAAACCCAGAAGAATCAATTGAGATGTGCCAAGGCAGAGAAGTCGGTGAAGACACAGAAGAAGCTTAAACAGATCATCATGGAAAAGGAAGCCAAACTTGAGTTTGAGAAACCGAAATGTACCATCATTACAGGCAAACTGGTCGGTTTGATCAAACACCTAACCATTAGCTTCATGTAACATTTTCTCAACAGGTGATGTATGCACATTTGTACATAACTGGAAATTACGTAGAAGGTCACTGTGAGTTGTATTGGAATGGTCTGTGCATTGAAATATCAAAACAAACCCTCAATGATTCTGCTTTCAGAATGAGAAGGTGCCAGTGCGGATGAATGCAGCCATGGTGCTCAGAGAGGGAGCTGTCTTTCTTAAAAAAGAGGATGAAGAAATTAAAAAGTACATTATCCTATTCATGTAGAATGGAATTGAACAGGAAAAGTGCCCTACTGCTTATTGTCAGTTTTTAGCTCGCCTTGACATCGTCAAGATGAGCTATTGCCATGTATGGCACAATGGGGTATTGTATGTCTGTCCGTCAACATTTGGCTACGGTCAACGATAACTCAAGAACAGTTTGACCCACATGTTTCAAATTGCATATAGTTGTTACTCCTATGGGAGAGGTTTGAACGTCCTATTTTGGAGCACGCCAGTTCGACCTACATTCGAGCCACGTCCACTTTTTGGCAAAAATGGAAATGGCCATAAGTCAGTTCAGATTCAACGGATTTTGCTCATTTCTAGTATGTGAATGAATAAGGACTGGCCCCAAAACATATCACACGGGTTTTGATATTTTTTTTAAATTATGCAAATTAGGTAGATTTTGGCAATTTCACTATGCATTTCAGTGTCTGCCTACGGTCAACGATAACTCAAGAACCGTTTGACCCACATGTTTCAAATTGCATACAGTTGTTACTCCTATGGGAGAGGTTTGAACGTCCTATTTTGGAGCACGCCAGTCGACCTACTTTTGAGCCACGCCTACTTTTTGGCAAAATGAAAATGGCCATTTAAATTCATTCGATTTTGTTAAATTTTGGTATGTGAATGTGTAAGGCTAGCCCCAAAGCAGTTGTTTCTTCTATGGGAGAGATGACAATGTCCTATTACGTTTATTTCGTCTAACTGGTTAACAACTCTATAATCATACCTATATATGTGTAATATTGTGTTTTAGATTCTTTGTTACAGTAATTTGACTGGAATATTTTATTGTTTTTATTTGTGCGATATTCGAAAACCAAAATGGCGATCATATAGGCGTAGCGCCATCTCTCGTCAAGATTTCAGATTTTCAGATCTGAAACATTTATTTTCGCATCAAAACTTATGCATATATCATTATCAAGAGTATATAATGGGAGATATGCTATATAATGGGAGTTCTCCCATATATACTCTTGCTTTATATATCCCCCCTCCCTCTTCTATTACACCCAAGGTGAGCTACAGTGTCATTGACACTTTCATTAGTAACTGATGTTAGTAAGTTGCAGTTTAAACGCTTAATGTGCAATTATATGTATATATATATATATATATATTAGGTTGGAGGAGCTGGAGGGTGGATCACGTGACACTGGCAGCTTTCTGAGGTGGCAGGCAGAAATGCGGGAACGTGATGTGCAGCAACAGCTCTTTGAGCAGGAGCGGCGCCACCTGCAGGGAAAACTGAGTCACGAGGAGGCAATTGTGGCTCGTCGAGCTCGTGCAGTTAGCAACAAGGAGCGAGCAGCTGACATGAAACGAGAGGTGAGGCAGAGGAGGTCAGAAGAAGGGAAGGATGCCAGTGCATGAGTGATAATTACTGCAGTAATGACACCTTGTGAAATTCAGAAGATTAGAAACAATCTTGTGCAAAATTCTTGCAGGCAGAGCTTAACATTCAACAGTATTGGGCTGATAGACTGCAGGAGATGGAAGTAAAAAGGATACAGGTGGAGGAGGTAACATTCAGCCAGCAACATGTAAAGGAAGCACAGGAAAAGCTGCTTCTTTACAAGCAGAACATCGGTAAGCTATAAGTAGTAGCACTGCAGCCTGCTTGGATGTGCTACCGCACGTATTCATTTATTAATTTAGACATTTCCATATCCTTAAACTGTTCAATATCCTGACGTACCTTGAGTTGTGAATAACATTTTCGGCATTGACACTGCAGTAAAACAAGTAACAGAAGAGAAGCAAGAGTTAATGAGGCAGGCGCTAGAAGAGGTATGAAGATGCATTTATGTTCCGGTCGCTCATTCCGTATTGATTCCCATTTGTTTCCTCAACATTTTCCTGGTGTACGGGAAAACAATGTTGTCCCGTGTAGAGCTACGGCGTCAGTCACAATGCCGACTGCCCTCTAATGAGAGACAACACTGAGGTTCTAATGTAAATCGGTGAGAAAATGCCAATCATCAAGGGCAAATAACTTGTCACATGCTGGCAAATCATGACTGGCGAATAACTTATCACATGCTGGCGAATCGTCACTTATTGCAACAGGCGGACGAGGCAATGCGACAGAAGCTGCAGCTCATTGAGCAGATTCGCAGCATGGAGGCGACGCCTGTGCCGCCCGGTAAGCTCGTGGACCTCAGCGACACCGCCGGCACGGGCCTGCTCTGTGAGATGTCGATCGCCGAGCTGAGGGAGCGACTCGCGCGGCTTAGAGTGACGCAGCTCGAGCTGCAAGAGGCAAGGCGAGGCGAGATCCACGGGAAAAAGCAGGTGAGAATGTGGGCGAGGGGGGGGGGACGAGATACACGGCAAGAAGCAAGTGAGAATGCAGGGGAGGAGGAGAGATACACAGCAAGAAGCAGGTGAGAATGTGGGGGAGAAGGAGAGATACACAGCAAGAAGAAGGTGAGAATGCAGGGGAGGAGGAGAGATACATGACAAGAAGCAGGTGAGAATGTGGGGGAGAAGGAGAAATACATGACAAGAAGCAGGTGAGAATGCAGGGGAGGAGGAGAGATACATGACAAGAAGCAGGTGAGAATGTGGGGGAGGAGGAGAGATACATGACAAGAAGCAAGTGAGAATGCAGGGGAGGGGGAGAGATACACGACAAGAAGCAGGTGAGAATGTGGGGGAGAAGGAGAGATACATGACAAGAAGCAAGTGAGAATGCAGGGGAGGAGGAGAGATACATGACAAGAAGCACGTGAGAATGCAGGGGAGGAAGAGAGATACACAGCAAGAAGGTGAGAATGCAGGGGAGGAGGAGAGATACACAGCAAGAAGGTGAGAATGTTCAGGAGGGGCGAGATAAATGGCATGAAACCAGTATGGTTGTGGAGTGTGTGGATGTAGAATAGTAAAAACACAGCATTACCCCATTGAGTTATAAGCTGAATGGGGGTGGTGGTGAGATACATGGCATAAACGAATGCACAGTAGTAAGGATAGGAGAGAGGGGTGAGATAATGCATAAACACAAATTTGATGCGAGTGTGCAGTGAGGAGTGGAAGGGTGTGTGTGTGTGGGGGGGGGGTATAACACAGCAAGAACACGTATTGAATATTGAGGTGGGGAAACAATGCATACTACAATGCAAGATGGGTAAAGCACATAGGAAGAGTAAAAACGCCAGAGAATAAAAGGTAACTGTGAATGGCACAAGTAGTAATAATTACAGTGGCATCGTTTGTAACAGTTATTATTCACTGTGAGATGTGGAACCATAGTGCCACCAATTATGTAATAGATATATATTATATATCCCTAGAATATTAAAGCAAGTGAGCATGGTGACACTGATGCATTTTCTCAAAAAGTGAATGGGTGGTAATCCAAGGCTTATAAAACTCACTAAATTTATAACTATTATCACTATTTAAATTCAGAAATTTACTTTGCATTAGGAGAAAGAAAAGGTTCTACAGGAAATGCAAGATACAATAATGAGACATAGAGAAAGGAACAAAGTGGCATCACCTAGGTATTGCTTACTTGGATTAAGTAAATTAATTTTAAAATGTTTAATGCATTAGTACTATACAGTTGTTAGAAAAATTCAGAAGAAGAAAACAATGAGCGGTTAGAGGACAAGAATGGAAACATGCAATGAGCAATATGTGCAAACAAGCGAGATATTAGTAGTAAGATTAGGAACTAAACGCTCTTAAAATGCCCAACTTTCAACATGTGTTAATCTATGCAAAATTTGACTCCTAAAAAGACTGCTTGATTATCCTAAATATAGGTTTAAAGCCAACATAGTATATGTATTCAGTAAGAAAATTAGATAGGTTAAGATTTACAATTCTTTTGCGTATCCCTTGCATGTGATTAAAGAGAGTAGTGGTGCAACATCTGGTGTTGTATCTTTCTGTAGGCATCAGGACAAGCAGATTTTCAACATCCGGTGCAAACAAACGTCTGAGGAGATGGAGCAGTTAGAGGAGAGGCTGCAGAAAAAGAAGGCCGAGAGAAGGAGCTTGGAGGCACAGTTGAATGTACCCCAGGGGAGGACTGACCCGATGAGATTTAGAGTTAAGAAGTCAGACAAGGTACTACTCAATGAACTTTAAATTTCTACTTGGTTGAATAGCAGTGCCATTACAAATATGTTCGGCCCTACAGTTTTCTATTGTAAAGATGAAGCGGAGGCCAGAACTGCACTGTGCCTCTTGTGGAGACACAGGATAAACATTTTACAAGACATTTTACTGTGAAATATATATTTAGTCCATTTTTAATCTACTCTAGGAGCAAGTGGAAGAGAAAAGGTGGAAAATGGTCAATGAGGCACACATAAGAGCATTCCAAATGTCTACTGGTCATGGGGATAACAGTGTTTCACAGCATGAAAAGAATTAATTTTCTCAGTCTGTACCTAACTGTAGTTGTACCCTAGTAAATATAAACTTTTTATCTCATGTTCCAAGTTTTAATAGTCAATATTGTTATAGCTATAAAAAGTACATAGTATCCCCCAAGAAAATGTAATAATACAAAACAAAAATTGCAAAATGGGCTGCTATGTCATATTAGACTAACCTTTTTTTACCATGATCCTCTTAACTATTTGTTTACATTATAATGGCCTATCCAAACACTATTCAGCATGTGTATGCACTTGTGAATCTCATGTACTGCTATTCTAAAATACAATATAGCGTGAAGCCTCCACGAATGGTTTCTTTGTAAGTCAAACTAATTAAATAAAATTTTTTGCATGCAGTTTATGATGTTGCTTCATAGGTAATGTTGCAGCAGCCATGTATTACATTCACACCCGTTATCAGGGAGAACTATGACAACATCAACAATGCCAGCATTCAGTCAGCCAGTCTCCCCTTAGAAGAGGAAATTCACTACACAATTTCCTATAATAATAAGACATCTTTATTTATAATATCCATCCATATAAAACGTGTCATGAATAGATTACACTCACACATTAGACACAGAAAGTTGAAGTGTAATGCAGCACTCCTCTCGTTAATGCAGTCATGGCTATGTCTGCTCACTGCACTGGGGACCACAGCATCCTTATGTAAAGTACTAAAAGTGAATCTAATACGTCCACTACACAGTTGTTCCCCCATCTTGCTACTATGTATGGTCACATACACATTTTGGCTGAAACCGACCAGACAAACACCATAAGTTCAAGCATTACCGAGTATACTCTAGCCATTAGAGACCAGGAATGCAAATAAATATAAAAGTGCAACGTGTAGAGTGATGACAATTTAAAAAAAATTCTATACACGATGCCGTGATTGCTGCCAGAGGAACAATAAACACGACTTCACAATTGATTACAACACGTATAAAAAACCTATTCATTCTACACCGATGTTGCAGAGGTGGCTAGCTGCTAAGATATTAATATTCTATCGGTTAAAACGTGTGCATTTGCCGTTGGCAGGTATAAATAACACCTGAACGTGCTAATTGGGTACAGATGTCTCTGATATGTCAACTGGAGCCTGTAGGCCGGATTAAATGTCGAACCACCGAAAACTGTTGGAAGGGTTCTTGTTCGTTAGTTCCAACGGCAAAAGCAAAGCTACGAATTTAATGCAGCTAGGCAAATCGACATTGATTTGACATATACACATGCAAAACACGTGCGTCCACCGTTCACACATGACAACACTGAGTTTGGACATGACACACTGTTCCTGGTTGACATAAAATGGAGTAATGATATCATTAAATAAATGAGTTGAACAATAACGTCACAGTGGTGAGTTTGTGCATCACGTTGAGTACAAATGGTCATGTATACATGAGTGACGAGATTTTAACTGCAGCTTGCTCACTGCAATGATGCGACGCTAGACAATAAATATTACCGGTAACCTATTTAACTCGTTATCTGATGGGGGCATCACGTGCGAGAATAGTAATGACTCTGGCACGAGAGGCAAACGTTATTACTGTAATTCTAAGAGTTGGCGCAAACAGGATCTATATATTATGGCAGTAATAACAACCGTATGTTGAGATCTGGTAACTTTAGGGTCGACCTTTGCTGTCTTTTTGATTAAGAAATACAAATATGAAGGTCCTACGTTACTACCATTGCTGTCGCTACATTAGTAGTAGTACTACTACCTAGTAAACACCTAGCAAAAAATTACCAACTATGTACACAAAACCTGCGTATACCAGTTCTATAGCTTGACAACTTATTGACCGCTGCTAATTAAACGCTATGTGGAGGCGTTTTATATTTTCGTCAAGCCCTAGAACTTAAACGTATTCACACGTTACAGTGAAGCCAGTAACTCATTTGTTAGATGTACTGTTGATCAACTACTAACACTGCGACAAGTACAACTGCTAATAATACTACTACATCTACTACTGATAAAGACAGAAGTGCAAGTTTATGGACTGTGTATACGGTGACAGAGTACGTTTCAATACACAGGTATGCAGGCATGATGCAAACACCTGTTGGATGTGAATGTAACATACAAAAGTAGAAATTCAATCTACGGTGAAATATGAGTACAATTGTTGCACAAATCGTAAAACAATAGCCATTACAATTGAATCAAAATAGCAGAAGTGAATGTAGTAGTAACGACACAAAGTGAAATTACACCAAACACCCAAATGGTGAAAAATCATGGCACACTGACGGCCGAGTAGTGCAGACACGGACACAGAAAATATCAAGCTTAGCTCAACTCATTTAACTCAAATGGTTGTCAGTGTGACAAAAGATTATTACTCAAAGTTGATACATGAAAACAAATTGAAAATGTTTAACCACGCACAAAGCTGGCAAATGCAATAGCGTTAAACTACGACATCTTGTACAAAGTTTAACAGCAAAAACAACAACAACGACCACACCACACGTACTCTTATATATATTAGTGCCATACTATAAGGTTCGCCTGGAATATACAGTAACTATTTGGGATTTGGGCAGCAGTGTCTTTGGCTATGGATAAGGGCCATAATGGTAATGCTGCATTTGTATAGGAGCTTGTTTATCGTTTAGTAGTCAGTTAGACCACGCCCTTGACAACCCGGGCACAAATTTCAGGACATACACCCTAGGATCAAAGAGTATCTCTCCCCATACGAGTATTCCTAACCATAGAGCAACGACGCCTCTACATCTTCGGTACTGCGTAGAACACACTGATAGCTGACATAATGTTAAGGGATGTAACCGTCAAATTACTGCTATAAAAATGCTCAGTATCTAATATACCTGTAGGTGCACGCACGCAGGCACATTCACACGCTCATACACACGCGCACGTAAGCACGCACACATGCATGTACGCACGCACACGCTCGCTCGCTAGTATACACACAAACACATACACACGCACACGCACGTCCGCAAACACACCATGCATACCCTCACACTCACACAAACATGAGTAAAACACAGGGTGTTACAATTTATATGCCAATATGATCTTTTGTACAATACTATACATGGGAACAACACTCCTTCGTACATATGAAGGTGGCAGCCACTGTATTGGTTTTTTTACAGTACGCAACTGAAACATTCACTACAACATGATGCTATATTAAAGAGAAACTTGGACACCGCCGTTATGTCAGTGCACGCAATGCATATTTGCGATAGTGTAAATATGTACACCACTGATAATAATACTAAATATATGCAGCCTGACGTTTATCTGCAGCTAAGCTCAGTTTTGCAGAGGAACGCTACACATCAATTTAAATTACAGGGCCAAGCTCAGGGAAAGACACGCACGCACGCACGCACGCACGCACGCACGCACGCACGCACGCACGCACACACACACACACACACACACACTACTCACACACACACACGCACGCACGCACGCACGCACGCACGCAGACGCACGCGCACGCACACGCGCACGCGCACGCACACGCACACACACTATACACACACAAGTACGCACGCACGCACGCACGCCACGCACGCACGCACGCCACGCACGCACGCACGCACGCACGCACACACACACACACAGGGGAAAAGAGGAAAGAGAGAGGCCGGAGAGAGGAGGTGGAAAAGGGGCGATAGCCAGGTGAGGGGGTGCAAAAGTGTGAGAATAGTACAGCTGCTTCCCCACCAGTCACTCAGGTATCTGTGACGCAACCATTGTGCATTGGACTACTATTGCTTGTGCGTTCTGTTTTTTTCCCTACAGAATCAACGTGCTTTATGCTATTGTGAAGTGTCTTGTGCTAAGCTTCACTTCAAATAAGCTTTAAAAGACGGTAGCTTTCGCAGACACCTAGCCTGATACAAGTGTGTAAAGTCACTTCATTGATGGGTTGGCGAGAGGATGTTGTGAAACAGAGGTTACCACGCCAACCACTGGTGGTATTATATGCAATCCCAGCACTTGCACAAGTGATGTTACTTGGTGTACGCGATGCCAATAAAACTACACAATACCATCGCTTAGAGACATGAGAAACTAAGGTGGAACGTAGATAAGTGTCGACATTATACCCTGGTATCATCCCTCTTCTCCCACTGCTATTTTAGGAATTTTGCACTGGTTTGTTAGAGAAAGCACGCATTTGTCTCTCAGAGTATACCATCACTAGCATCTCCGTACTGCAACGGTTGTAGGATGAAACATTCTCAAGATGACTAGCAACTGTCAATGTACACATGCACACACATACTTCAGCCTCTGCATTGCTGTACATTTTGTAAGCTGAACTTAATGAACGGTTTGCACTTTTTGATTGTCCTGTCTCGAAGTTATAAAGCTACGACTATACACGTTACTTGACATCATACCTCCCCTGCCCCAAACAACCCCACTAAAATAACATTATTAATTGCACTATACAATAGTCATACTGATCTAGATTAGTGTTTAAAATGTAGCTTCGGTCTTTATACGAGAGCCAAAGCAGCAACGAACGTATAGCGCCGCTACACAGGCACACAAGCATATACAGCAGCCAAGCTCTACACCCAACCTATCTGCCCCGATAACCTCAATCTAGAGCTAAATCTTTATGAACTTGGATGATCTGTACACGATGTTTGAGCAAATAAAAACGTCACTAAATACGCAATAAATATCTTAAAGAGTATGAACGACACACCTTCCAGTGCGAGGCTGGGTGGGGTACCTTCTCCTGCGTTACAGAGGGGCAACCTTTGTGCATAGCCATTAACTAAGACAATGCATATTCCACTTCAATAACAGTGTTCAGTCGTGCCTGGACTCACAATCACGGGAAGAGCTAACAGCTGAAAAATGCGTCTGCAGAGCAGGGACAATTTTATCAGGTCAGTAGACACTAAGCCTTCAAGAATTACCACTTGCTTAAAGTTGGCAGGTGATTTAGGGTAGATTGTCACTACTAATAGTCGCTGCTGGGCAACTCGCAAAGCAAGACTATACACCGCCTGCATAATAAGATCAAATATCAACAATTGCAGTTCCACTAATTTCTCAAAACAAGCATCACGGAGCTATTCTGAGACCAATTTTTCAGAAAATTCACGAATTTACATCCAGTAGCTTAAGCGATTAAATGGTAGCCCAAGCTCGATAATCAATACTGACCAGATACGACGTCACTAAAAGCACAACGAGAAAATTGTTTTGTTCATTCACCCTACTCAAAGCAATACGCAGGCAAAGTCCACAGACTGGTACTAGCAAACCTCTGAACCCTGAACTTCATTGTGCACTCAGTGCAAGAGAGATGGCTCCTAGTACATATTAACTGTATGTCCTCACACAGCTTCCATAGCTTCCCGTTTCAGATCTGCACATTAACCTCTCTCTCTCCCCTCCATGTCGCAATCGCTTGCACCTCAGTCAAGTGGCTCTCAGCTAAAACTGGTTGCCACTGTAAAGCAAATATCGAAGACTAGTATACATAAAGACATAAATATAACACACAGTAGAATGCGGCATTAAAACGATCCGTTTATCTGCTCCCCTGTTAGCTACTCGGGTAATTGGTCATTTTTTGGTTGTGACGATAGAAGAATTGATAAACTTATACTCTACGGACGCTGGTGTCGCATACTCAGCCTTGCATTCGCAGAGCCAACACACGGAAAGTTGCGATAGTCTGCAGTTAGAACGCAGTCTGTAGGATCACGCAAGCGATCGTGCATCAGCATGGGTGCGCGTACGTCCATTGCTCACTCTGTGTCTGTAGTCACATTCACTGAGACACTACCATCCAACCTGATCCTATTGCAGTAGATCCGGGGGCTAAGCAGCGACTAACTGAGGTTTGCGGTTCTCACGAAAAATACAGTTCATCGAAAGAAACTGCTTGATACAGTGTTAGCCAGTGGCAGTAGCTTTTATCCAGCTTTTACAGCATCCCATGCTGGCATCTTGGACACACTTATGTGCACGCACACACATATATTTGCACACATTATTAAGCAACTTTCACATGGATTGTGCAATTTCCGTGCCTGCCAGGTGTGTGCACACGCGTGAGTGCGTGCATGCGTGTGTGTGTGTCCGTGTGGCTGTGTGCATGTGTGAAAGTGTCCCCCAGGGAAGATGCGTTGCTCCATATTCTTGCACAGCCGGCTGCCACATAGCAGGGTCGCAGTCTAGTGCGGTCGAATCTTTCACCGATTCAGTGTCCACTATTCTGTCGTCATTGCTTCTGCTCCTGCCTTCATGGAGACATCTCCAGCTCACTTGATCTTCCTTCTCTGAGGCGGCGTACGCGTGTAACTGACCCTATTGCTTGCAGTTGTTAGTTGATTCAGCATTCACTGCCTGGGCCTCAACTACTGCACGTCGCTCCACCGTGTGCTGTGGTCGGGTTCGTTCCTGCAGCAAACCAAGGCAGCATTACTCTACAATGTCAGCACAAGTGCATTACGCCAACATCCTCCTCACAACTGTGATAACCTCTTTGCTGAGTGGTAAAACTGGGTGCTTTTAACCGATACATGACACTGGGTGGGTATTGATCAACAACTAGTCCAATTAGTCTTTTCATTTCATCATAATTCACAGTAACGGTTATCTTTGAATTATGGTGAAAACTGTGAGATGGGCCTCTGGCAGAGTGAGGCTATTACACGTCTGCTGTCTCTGCATTGCATTTAACTCTGCTGAGAACGGGATAGTTACTATACATAGTAAGATTACAGCACACAAAGAGTGTATCCACCCGTACACTTCCTTTTCATCTAATAACATTGCTACCACATTGGACACATAAGAGATGGTATTTAATACCAATTTACAAGATTCAGAATGACAAGTAACAAAACAATAGACGGTTACGATCTTCCCACGTTGCAGTAAACTAATACCCGAAGCATGACGTCAAAAAATCATACCGAGCACAAAATAATATCAGGAGATGTTACGAAACCTACACATAATGCAATGATAAAGGCAAGGTATTACAGCATACAAGTAATTATACACAACAACATGTGCGATACGAGCAGGCAATGATGTTAATAGAATACAATAAATAATTAACAAGCATGCAGCAAATTAGTTCCTCAATGATGGATGCAAACGGTTTTCTTGTTGGTGGCCTCTATATAAAAAGAAGCCTCTGACATCATGCACCTGCACCCCTAGCCACTCATAGCTCACCACTTACTAATTCTAATGTTAAGCTGCGACAGAAATGCTTAAAACATTGAAGGATGGGGTATTCCCAAATCGTTTTGCATAACCAGCATTAGTATAATGTTAGCAACCAGCAGTGCAAGGTCATTCGGTGCAGTACAATTAGAGTAACTAATGACTATTGAAGGCCACCAGTCTATACAATGCTGCTGATGCAAAACAACTAGGTAAGAAGCCAACTAGATAAACGTACTCTAATGAAGGCCCTAGCAATCCATCCAGTCTAATCACTAGACTCGGTGTCAGCGCAAACGCCCTGTAAAGTAGTGCACATAATAATTACTTGCCTCATTCACGTTTTCTCTCTTACACAATATTTACTGTATATAACTTACTTGACCTGCCACACAGAGTCTATGTTATGTTATCCCATAAAACCACACTACCCACACAAATCCTACGTTATCTCACACTACTATACATCCAACAAAGAGCCCATTGCATCCTATACAACTATACTGCCACACAGAGCCCATGCTACCTCATACAACTATACGTCCTATATGTAGGTTCTCCAGCATCCTGTATACCTATTCTCCCACAGAGAGCATGTTCATCACCCCAGCATATATACACAGTTCAGCCTTGATTATCCGACTTAAACAGGGTGTAGAGGTGGTCAGATAATCGAGAATGTTGGATATGATAATGCAGATACGAGGGTTGGATGAGGCAAATCACGGATTAAATGGAAGTGCAGTGTAAGTATAAAATTTGGTTTATCAATATTCATTCTCCTGTGTAATAAAACTAATGTGGTATAGAACTATTGATAGTTCTTCTATATATGTTAGTATCAGTGCAGAGTATATGAATAAGGAATCTCAATTTATGTACGCCTGAGAGTATACATAGTACAGTGTACACACCACGCATACTAAATATGCCAGGTAAAATGAAATGTTGAATATATATGAATTAGAATAACATAAACATTTAAAACAAACATTTACTACAGAAGACAGATGAGAGTAAACAGAAAAATTCCTATCACTCTTGATTTGCTATGCTCTCAACTGTACTTTGCATAAAAGTGCACTCAGTGCTTGACAGTGAACCACAAGTGCTGGACAAAAACTTTGCGTGGAGACAGGACACTTGCTCGCAAGAAAGGAACCCAACTAAAGCAGGTTCCAGAAAGCCTGGCAACTCACCCGCCTCCTGAACAAGCGTGCAAAGAAGCCTCGTCGCTGTGGCTGCGGCTCTTGGTCTGGCGGATACTCTATCAAGTCTGGTGAGGGGCCGCCATCTGGGCCGAATACATTCAACTCCCTAAACACCTCTGTCTCTATCATCTACAATGAGATGAATAAGACACATAAGGCTTCCGTTTGTCTTTAGCCTTGCACCTTTACTGCCCAGCTATCACGAACACACCATGGCTCTTCTCAGTGAAGCTATACATCAGAAAAGCTTTCACAGACCACATGCACGAAACATGATCAAACCTCAGCTTAGTTGCTGCTCAGGATTATTGCCTTCTATTTTCCTTTATCCCCCATACAGCATCAGGTGCAACACTGCTGTTATTATGAGTAAACATAACATTCTAGTACATTTCACAGTAATTCTTCCCAATATTTACTAACGTGAGCAAACTACTGAATATCCTTAAAACCATTTTCTTTTTATTCCAATAAAGACACATCTAACACCTCCGTCAGACTGGACGACTACCATCCGTGACCGTACGGCGACCAGAAAATGTACAAGGTCGCCGGCAAACGCGAGAAAAAGTCCCAACAAATTACAAACTTGACAAAAACCGCGCTCTTACCGCGACCTGTGCGATCATACCGCGTTCTCACGGCGTGCCCGCCACGACCTCTCCGCGCTTATGGCGTTTCTATTGAGATCTATGGGCTTGGCAACGGCGATCACCGGCGATCCCGCGGCGCTCTCACCACGCTCATGGGGTTCTTACCACGCGTCTTCTACGTGTATCGCGACTGCACGGCGACCTCACGGCGTTTCTACCACGTTCTCACGACGACTAGATAAGCTGGTCAGATTTTCAGAAATTTCAACTGTATAGTTGTGCGTTTGCTGAGTAGAAACACGATGCCGAAGAAACAAGCTACCAGAGGCCGAGGCCGTGGTCGTGGCCGAGACAGATCGGCATGAAACAGATTGGCAGATCGGATGAGACAGATCCATGAAGTCGCTGTTGTAAATGTTACCATTTTTGCAGCGTCTTTGTCACGCGTGTACTGCGCGTGTACTACGTTTATGGAGATGTTACGACGCTTGTCTCACAACCTTCGCGACCCCACTGCGTTCTCACCGCGTTCCAGGTCAGATCGCCGAACCTTGGCGTTTGGTTTGAACATGCTAAAAACAAACGCCGTGACTCGGCGATCATTGGCGACCATGGCGACCACAGCACGATGTCTGGCATTTCCACCACGCTTATACCATGCTTATGGCGACCTTGACGCGCTCTGGACCAATTTTCCATCGCCGTAGCAGCGCAGTAAGGACGCCACCCCGGTCTGACGGGGGTGCTAACGTGCTAACAACTCATGCCTAATCACAACCAAAGATCACCGAGTGCGCACTGCCGTGCTGTCTATATCCGCTCACGTGACCACCTAGCTTTTCTTCTCATAGCTGGCTACTGGTGCACAGTACTGCATGGTATATTGTGTATTCACTATACATTATTATTAGACACAATTCTTAACAGTGCCAATATTCACTAGTAAGCTCAACGAGCCAATTTAGCTGACTCAGCCCAAAATAATACTTATAATTATACTGAGATAGCAACCTATTAGTACAGAAGAAGGCAATGGCTTGCAGTGTCCAGATGGTACTGTTTTGGTACTAATTTCACTATGATTGTAGACAACACAATAGAAAATATGGTTAACAAATTATTCAAGTACAACAGTATGGATAGCATACCTCATGCTGCCAGGGGATTGGTACACTTCCTGTGTTAAATTTGCTATAAAATGTGTCATCACTGGGATCCAGGTTCACACCTTTCACTGTAGAGAACTGTTCAATGTCAAGTACATCCTTGCAGTATACGGCTCTTGGCTAGAATAATAAAGTAGTGACAATGATAGACCATCGAGACAACTCTGCATCCCACAAAATATTGATTAGCCAATCATTATGGACAGAAAGACGAGAAAGTGGCCTGAAAGCTCAGACCACATTGTTGAGCAGCAATTGAGTGTTCAAACCGGAAATGTGTAAAACATTACACAAAGAATGCATCGCCAAAGATCGCAAGTACAAAATTTTCAATAATACAAATCCTATATGCAAGAGATGAAGTGGTAAATACTCAGCCAAACACATGGCAGTCCGATGCTAAGCTTGTTATAGCAAAACAAAGGTGTATGTAATCACTAGCCACAGCTTTGATATGCTCCAGTTTAGCATTTTGCTAAAGAAATACACCAGCTCATTGACCTTGACTTACATCAGGAACAAATGGTGGGTCCAACATGCCGGCTTCCAGTCGCTTGAAGTTGATATTTCTAAAAAACGTGTGTGCTTTCACGACTTTGGCACCGTTTCCTCGACAACCCAGCCGGCTGCGAGGGTCCTTCTGAAGCAGCTGGGAACATTAAAACATGATTTTATGTAGGTTAAGACGAGTTAATATATATGTATATATAATATTAAATAAATGAAGTTATTTAACCTTTTTAGATAGTATAGACAGCAACAAAAAATCCACAACAACAACAACAACAACAACAACAACAACAATAATAATTATTATTATTATTGTTATGAGAAGAAGAAGAAAAAGCAGAGAAAGTAGAAGAGGAAGAAGAGAAAGAAGAATAACTACTACAACAACAACAACAACAACAACAACAACAAGGCTCAAATTAAGGCCTTATTACAGGGGCTAAAGCCCCTGAGGTTCTAGGATATTGCACAAAAATGGTGCAAAAATGATAAATTTGAAAACCAAAATCGCAATGAACTGTGGAGAGGTGCATTATACTCATAACTGATCATGTGCATCATGATCATCTCCACTATTCTTGTCTTGCTCTGTTCCTTACCTCAGTACAAATTGACCTTGCTTCTTCACTAAACTTGGAAGAGTAGGTTTCCTGGTCCTCTCTCACTCGCCTGTCCACCTCCTCCCTCTTCACCTTCTCCTTTCTCGCTCTGAATGGAGCCTGAAATAACATATTCCACCAACACATAAATGATAATTGCACGACTATGTTCACAGCTATGTAATACTAAATCAGTACTCAACACTTTGCTAGCTATTACAATCATTGACAATAGATCTTGCATTTAAATTCTGCTACAGCTAACATAATGCATAAGCACCAAACATACTAATACTGCAAAAATGTACTGTTTGATATATTATCTCTTTACTCATACAGCTCTGTGAAGAGGGAGTGATTTAGAATGCGCAGGTGGAATTTCATCATAATGTGGCGAATTTGAGCGTCTTACCCTTCCTTCGATCATCTCATATACCAGGCAACCGAGACCCCACCAGTCTGGTCCTACTGTGTATTTCTCATTCTTCACGACTTCTGGAGCTGAAATATACCATTCATGAATCATCAATCACTACGTTACATCAGTGAAACCAAAACCTTGAAATTGGTTGTTCTCGGTTTTCTATTTTTCTGGTACAATAAGATTACATTTTTCATGTTTTCGAGTAACTGTTATCTGATTATTACATTGCCAACATTGCGGGCAGAATGGCATGTTTGCTGTTAGAGACATTACTATAAATACAAGTAACTAATTACAAAATGTAAAATTCCATCTTTCACCAACAACTAACAACACGTATACAATTAATTCATTTTTTTGCCACAAATAGGGGCAAATCCAACGCAATCTTACTGATAGATGGCAGCACCTACATAAAACCTTAACTAAAAGAATACTGACAAGTAGCAAATCAGAGTAAGCCTTACATCTCACACTTAAAGGCCTTCCTGTGAATGGCGTATCAAATACAACTTTCACGGATTTCCACCCGTCATGTGCACCTTTACACCAACTTGTACTTACTTGCAACGATACAGTAGTAGCGCTAACATAGATAGGGACCCTACCTTACACAACACCGCCATGAAAACTCCTATCAAAATACAAGTATGCCTGATTGCCTCCGTCATTCTTCCAACTTTCCCATCCCCACTATGCCCTCTTCTTGCCCACCTCCTCTCGTAGTCTGGCCCCCATAGTCCTTCGTCCTGCCCTATTCATCCTCTCTGATTCACTCACTTACTCGCCAGCGCACTCAAACTCCCCCCACTCCACTCCCCCCTCATCTCGCACTCTGTGCACGTCATGGTACCATAAATGAATACAAACTAATGACTTTTTATTCACTCTTGATGCTACGCATCTTTAACCCTGCTCTCCCCTGAACCTACGTGGACTCTTACATTTACATACATTAGTCAGAACACATAAAACGTGGTAGATACGAATAGTCGGAATAAATATTACAAATGAGAATGTGGAAGCATAGTATTAGTACAAACACATTCCAGCCTTGCACACCCCTTGAAGTACGTAACATAATCAAGCTACCTGTTCCGTACCTGCTTCCCTGGCTTGAATATGATTACCCATAGGCTGAGAGTAATGGGCAAAACACAAACGATGACAACGGAGAAGATGCACTAATTTATAATAATTGTGCTCTTCTTAGACATTCAAATTGAATCGCAATAAAACTTTTCGATAAACGTACAAAAATTGAACTGACTTATAATCTAAAACTTGAGATTCCAGGGCAGAAAATGAAGAGAGCACTAATTGAAGGTAGCAACAATTAGATTGTCCCCAATATGCAATACAAGCTAGGATGATAAAATGCACACAGAACCCAGGTTCAGCTCTAACCATGTGAGGAACAACACTGAGTCCATAAAGAACACTCGTTCCAACTCGTTCAGCAACAGCGAGACATACTATCTGTGGAACATCTTCTAGATTCATCACAACATGTAGTACATAAACGGCAAATGTGCAATTCAATATTAACAAATCTATTCAGTCAGTTTGAAATAAACAGAAGCATCGCTAACATATAACTGAATAATGGGCTGACATGATCCTACGCTGCTTAATTAAGTCACAGCCAATATCTCAAGTACCCTGACATAACAAAATATAAAGAGTGCACAAAATAGGAATTGGCGTAAACGCCGCTATAGCCCTCCAGCGTAGAGATTTATGTACGAACATTTTTATCCTCACAATTCATTCAAACACAAATGCTATCTAGAATTTAAGTGATGTATTGATGCAGGCAAATTTATGCGTATTGATGTCCTGTTAGTCCACTGGGTATAGTAGCTCGTAACATTATTATAGCTCTGAGTTTAATTAATGCAGGGCAGATGTTTCACGCTTACAGATGAGCACCGCAGGCTCCATATGTGAAGCCCTATAAATGCACACTGACAGTGCAGCCGTGGTACTGTACAGATAAGAGTTTAGATAGCGTATATGTAATTATATGGTATTATATATGTAAAAGATCCTAATAATTTCTATATTTAGGCAAGCGTCACGTTGAAACCATGTAATAATAAGAGTTTTGCTTGAATGCAATTTTTTTTATCCAGGTTTATAACTGACACAACTGTTCCTCACAGTCCTCAAATATTGGCTAATTGACCAACTAACATCGTAATATGTTAAAATGCTCCTGTGTAGAGTGTAAAAACGGGAAGCCCAAAGAATGTGGTGAAAATAGTTGGGTTGTTAAATCTATATTTGCGAGATTCTTGCTCAGAAACAGTCTCAATCCGAAAAACCTTACAGCGGATATATCACTGATTACACCAACTTGTAAAACACTACGATTTTATGCAGTTATAGCATAGAAAATTGGACATGAACACATTGTAACACACTGAAATTCGATCGTGCCGCGAGAATGTCAAAATGGGTAAACTTGAATAGGGTATATTGGATGGGTATGTTTGAATGGGTATATTGTCGGTGACAAATTGCAAACAAAAAGCATCTCAAAATTCTGTAAAAGATGAATATGTCTACGGCCGATAGGTGGCGCTAATATCTGATCCAAGAGAGCTGTGTATAATTAGTAGGTCTCAGGGGAGAGATAGTGAATATAGAAATAAGTTGTGGATATAGAAATCAGTTAACCCTAACTCTAACCCTAATCCTAACCCTAACCCTAACCCGAACCCTAACCCTATCTCTAATTCTAAATTAAAACAAAATTAGTCAAAAATAATAAACAATAAAATAAATCAAAGACAAAATTATCCAATCAGAGCCGTTTTTATTGGCCTTTAACGCGCCTTTTATTGGCGTGAAACATCTGCCCTGCATTAATTAAACTCAGAGCTATAATAATGTTACGAGCTACTATACCCAGTGGACTAACAGGACATCAATACATCATCACTCTAGCGGATCACTATCTCGCCCTTGTGCAAAATTTGTGTATAATTATACCACTCACGTCCAAGATTACAGCAAAACGGGCGAGTTTTCGAAACTAGTTAGAAACGTGCATGTTTCGGTGAATACGAAGGCTCTAAAATATTTTATCATCACTCTAGACAGCTGCTGTTACTCAAGCAATAACAGTATCACTGTATGTGTCGTAAAAGTGGGTAAAAAACAAGATTATACTCGAAAATATGGCTTTTAAAAACCTACACTAACTACAACCTGTCAAATCATAGGCACTTACCCATATATCCAACTGTGCCCACTCGACCCCTTATGGTTTCTCCAGGTGGTATCTCAATAGCAAGGCCCAAGTCAGAGATTCGCACGTGGCCAAAATCGTCCAGCAGTATGTTTTCTGGTTTCAAGTCTCTGCAATAGATGAGAGGGTATATCGAGTGCTGCAGGCTAGCCATATCACAGATTACCTGATATAGGTAGAAATTAACTTCACACTGGTATGCAGCACTTTCATGACGACCTGCACCAACATATAGCAGGGTTCTCCAAGGGCACTATCGTCGAGCCCCGCCATTCTAAAATGCACCCGCCACGCTAAATATCATAGCCGCCATGCTGGTGTATACGCGAGAAGTTAAAACAATTAATTAATACACGTTGGTCTCGATGCTACGGGTACGGCAGTACCACCCACAAGTACAAACAGTCACCCTATTACCAAAATTAATCTATGGTGTATAACCTTTTGCTTTAAATATTTTGCATCTGAACTGACAATCAATCCCAACCAACTGGTGTAGGCTAGCTGGCACAATAATGTTCATTTTCATACTTGAAATCCGAGTGTTTTCTAGCTCATCAAGAAATCTTAATCGTGAATTAAATCGTGAATTAATTTCTAACGGCATTATTAACAGGGCAGGTAACCCAGTCTAACACGAGGTAGAGTAGACTGGTACACTTACCGACCACTCCTGCCATTGTCAATAGTGACAAAAAATTTTTTTTTATTTATTTATGAGAGGTGAACTCGATTTGGAACCAGCAAACCAGCAAGTTCACCCCTACATTTTGGTATTTTTATTCCATTAATTATTTTGAATTTTCCGATGGCTTTGCCCATGCAAAACAAACATTTTCACCCCACATGCAGTGCTTCAAATTTACACACAGTGTCCCAGATTGCATCTCAGAGCTTCTACAATTCAAACATTTTCTGGGGGGGCCATGCCCCCGGACCCCCCTAGCACTGAGTACCACCCCCATGCTATAATTTAAAAGCTCAGAGAACCCTGATATATGCATGTAAAAGCACATAAAAACACCTGTCCCACACGTAAGAGAATGTGTATATTACCTA